AGGCTCTATCAGTTCTCATTAGCCAAGTGAGATTATGGACTAGGAATGTCACTAAATACAGCCTTATCAAATAAAATTCAACCCGATAATGAGTGCAGCTAATTAAAACCTTATAACCAGAGTGCTTTCGAAAGGTGAACCTTTCTTTTTCAGAAACAAACTGGAAATCCCAGTTTGCCCCTGAAGAAAATAGGCCCACCTTTCGAAAGCACTCTGGTTATAAGGTTTTAATTAGCTGCACTCATTATCGGGTTGAATTTTATTTGATAAGGCTGTATTTAGTGACATTCCTAGTCCATAATCTCACTTGGCTAATGAGAACTGATAGAGCCTGTCGTTCACATGCTATCACTTTACATTCTTTAAAAAATCAAAGGACAGAAAACAGAACTTTTACAAGGAGATGATAGTTTTCTGCAGTGGAACAGCGGAACGTTACCTTTCCTACCAAATGTCATTTACGTTTTTATTGAGTGATATTTTTTGCCACATACATGGATGAACTAATGAGAGTTGTTACTGCTCGAACTTGGTATTTCCATTTAACATTGAGCAACATTCATTTCCTAATGTGACTTCATGACTATTACACGACTAGGTAAACGTTTAATTTTCGCAGTTAGTTCTGAGGTATTCGTAAGTTAAGCTGATTTCCTCGAAAAAAAGGCATTCGGTAGGCCTACTTTATAACTGGAGGATAGATTAGGAAGTAAATATGAATTTACCTAAATCATGTGAGTTCAAGCAAAGAAGTAAACAGACTGGACACAATTTTTACACAAGATGTAACAATCTTTACTCAAACCAAGGACAAAATTACAATTTAATTTAGGACACGTGGTTGGTCGATTTCAATTAGACTCGTGAAGTAATCGACTGCTTTTTTTTCTATTAATATGTCTTCCCATAAACCAACTCACTTGAGACCACGTGTAACGCAGTTTAAATCTAAAGTTTCTTACTTAACGTCTCTCACATAGGGTGTAGGTATGATCTTTCGAGGACAAGAAAGGATCAACGGCATCTAGAACAAAGTTAACTCAGTGGTTTTCAGGAACATCTGCTATACGAAAATTGGATAGACTCAGAATCAATGAAAATGTTTACATTGAGATAAGAAGGTAGAAACTCGTGATATGCATGATGTTACACTTTCAAAGCCAAGGATACAATTAAAAAAAAATCAATGCTACATAAATGTTTTCTTATTGCATATAACTGTGTTTTTTTTCCTTTTAAATCATGGAATTTTTTTCTTCTCTACCCACTATCCTTTCGGTCGTTTGCCGGCTAGATTGAACTGATTAGCTAATATCCGTGTAGAATTAGAATACCAGAACTTGATGGATGTTGCGCGAGTGAGTTGAGATGCAGGTCCCATCAGTTTTTTCCATTAAACACCTGTCCTCTGTTCTGCATCAAATCTTGAGGAAATAACAACAACAAGAAGAAAAAAACAGTTTAGGTATGTACACAAAAAACGTGGAAATATATATTGGCAGTACTGAATGTTGCAATAACCTTGAGCTATTTTACTAGCGTTTACTTTATAAGTTTTTATAAGTTATGATTTGGACTTTTTAAAAG